TAATGAAAGGAAGCTGAAACAGAAATCCATACATAAAAACATTTTATTGAATAGTATCATATAAATAATCTTGGTACAAAATGTTACTTAGCAAAAAAAATGACTCAGTTTTTTCCCATTTGCCAAAATTATAGATGTTGATGACAGTAACTATTCTTTGCAGACCTTGAAATGAACAAGCAAGTATTGTTTTTTAACAAGGAATAAACATAAACAAAGGTCCTTCATTGGCATTAGCTATTTGAGTTTTACCAATTGGCCCAGCCACATTAAAATGTTTCATGTAACAACATTTTAACCTAAATGTTAATAGCCACAAAGTTATTTTAAAACTGCAAGTCCTACTATCATAGACATCTGACTGAATTAGTGACAAAAGGTGGGAGCTTTCAGTCTACATCTGAAAACATATATCAGGATACCCACATGAAACAAATATACAGAGGACATAAATGTAGCCCATATGGAGTTCTTATACGTCTCCTTTATGTTATTTCCTTCATTTACAATGGAAGATGAATTAATGCAAAATCCAATGTACCTGTGTCCAAGGCTTTATGACCTGCAAACCCAGAATGATGTTTACATCAGTGCATTGGATTTTACAGCACCTACAAGTACCCACGGGCAATCTATAAGAACGTGACCATTTTAGTACAATTTATCCATCACATAGACTAATGTAACAGCTGTAAATGTGTTCCGCGTGTGTAGTCCTTCCACAAACCAGCCACCCAAAAAGATTTAATCTACTGCTAAATGACAAGTATACAAATTGATTATTCATTCAAATGCCAGAAGAGGTTTTCAAAGACTGCTTATAATTTTACTATTACTGAAACAGGCTGTCATTTCTGCAGATGAGACATTCAGTGCCCAAGTAACTCAACCAAGTCTCTTCTAATTTCACTAAGCAAAACAATAATCAGTGTCAAGATTGTCTAGGCTAATCCTAACTGGACAATGGGTACAGTTATGGATTTTAGATAACACTAATCTCACAGAAGTGTCTTTCTAAACATGATTGAAACAAAGCAAATAGATACAGAGCTGGGGGGAAATTCTCCCTTGTTGGTAACAGGTCTGACCTGGGGAAATGAGCTTTTGCAATGGGGTTTCTTATTATATGGGTTGACCACCAAAGATCGGAAAATGTATCAACAAGACAAGAGTAACCCCTCCTCAGCCACCTCAATTGGTGTTTCAGCATGTGCAAAAAGTGGAATCATACATAGTGGAAATTCAAATATTAATGTAATATTTTGGCAAAAACATAAACAGTGCACGTGTTGGAACATTGATAGGATTGGGTAACTATGTATTAGTTGAGCAACAACATTGGTCTACATTCTTATATAATCTCAGAATATTTATTTAAAACACAAACTCTTAACATTTACTGTAGTGTTCAAATACAATCTCCCAGTGGCTTTGCAATATTTTACATTGCATAAGATCAGTAGTTGACAAGAAAGAGCAATGGTGAACACAGGTTTAAATTGTGCCGGACAGGCCCTCTAATCGACTTTTCATTGAAGACAATATGAATTGGTTAGAAATTGAGTATAAAGTTTGATGCTGGATGTTTGCACGCCCTAACATTTGTTAACCTTTGCTATGCTGAAAAAAACCCAAAATGGCTCCAAATAGTTAGAACAATGTTTTCAATGGGATTGTAATTAATACTACAAATAATCCATTTGAGTTAACGTTTATGTGTGTATTCAGCTCTCTCAGAGGAGGTACCAAATAACTTTAGGCGATGCTGTTGGAGCCACACTTTTATTATGGAATATTCCCAGCTTCAGGTAGTCTGAAGTTCAATAGTATAGAGCGGATGCTTAATATATCTCAGGGTCTACCTTAAAGGTACATAAGTAATTAACAACTGTTCAGAAATATCCATTCTTCACAGCAGCCTTATGCCATCGCAGCTGAGCTACTTTTTTGATGTCGTGGTCACTGTGGATTTCAAACAATGCTAGATTTTTCTTAACTTCTTGGAAATGAATTCCCATTTCTTTGTGAGGCCTCACCTAACATAGCTCCGCAATTGCCAGAACAAACTGTTTTTTAAACTTCAACCAGTGGGATATTAATTCTAAAAGGGAAAGACGTGTACAGTGTCTAGTGTGGACAGCTCCTCATTGGGGGAAGGGAGAGGCCACAAATGGTACAAAACAACAAGAATTACAGAGAAGAATGAGTGAGTGCAGACTGATACCAGTGCTGTCTTCAAAATACAAATATTTATTCTCTTCCTATCATCATGCTAGAATGCAACCGAGCCCTGAACTTAAGTATGAAGAATTCCACTCGCCTTCCTCAGCAAGGCCACTGTGAAAGGATGAGACTTATAATAATAATAATAACCCTTGCATTTGATTTAGCACTTTTCACGTCTCCTAGACGTTTCAAAGCGCTTCACAGAATATGCTGTAAAGTGAATTGACTGCATATTTGTGGGCTAAACGCGGCAGCCAATTGTGCACAGCAGTGTCCCACAAACAGTCGTGGATTGAAAATGACCAGAAACATTCACATTCCCCATTGTTCAATTCCCTGCTCTTCTTTCAAAAAGAGTCATGCAATGCTCAGCAGTTTGGCAAAGGGCCAGGAAATTTCAAATTAAATCGAGATCTGTCCCTCATCACCAATCTATCAATCACTCTGTTGAATTCAAAGAAGCTGGCAGTGATGTTGCACGAGGCAATCCCATTGTTACTTATCGCTCTACACAGTCTTACATGGAAACTGAATTGTTTAAGTAGCTACAGAATATTTTCCCCCGATTGGAGTACATTATGACTGTGTGTACATTTGAAATGTAGTTGCTGTGAAAAAGATACAGGGATAAAAAACAAACGGGAATGTTGGGTTTCCAGATCAAAATTTAAAGGGCATTTAATCTAACACAGCTCAACGTTTGATGTGAAATCTCCACATCTGTATAGTGCTAATTCCCACAAATGTGAGCTGTATGTTGTTGCATTCTGAACCATGAAATGAGTTCTCCCTCTAAATCTCCATTATGTCCAAATGCAATGCAGCTAATTTGGATGAAAAACACATTTTTATAAGATCCTCAGCTGCATTCACGACATGGATATTAGTGAGCTCTTTTGCCTCTGTACCAGTGATCAAACTGTCCAGTGTTAGCCCTAAATAATATAACGCTTAGCAGTGAGGAGAATAGAAGAGCAGCGAGGCAAGGAATCCAAAGCATAAGGGCTTGCTGAGCTCAAATTAGGTGACCTTTCCGGCATTATATTTGAGAGGCAACTTGAAAATAACTGACTGTCTGACTGATGCTGCAGGTCCAATTGTTATGAATCATTGGTACAGATGTCAAAGTGTCAACAGTCAACATGTTACCTCTTTGAGGCGAAGGCTGCAAGCTCTTTATTTAATGAGAGGTCAGCCAGGCCTCTCCTCCTACGTACTCAGTAGTACATGATGCATCTACTTCAATGAACACAACCATCTGTCTGCATTAGGCAGACATTCCAGGCAGGTATCAGACTGTTTTTTTCTGTTTTTTAAATGTATTCTATTCTATTTTATGTTTCTCATCTTATTACACACTCTGAACCTTTAAACACATTGCCTTTTACAATTATTACCATGGCTGGAACTTCCCAACTAAACACTGAATATGTGGTGTACAGAAGCTAAGATGTAGTTGACGAGCTGATTCTGTTACAGAGTTGGACAATAATAAGCTGCCTCCGAGAGAATTTGTTTGAGCCAGTTAGTGTGATCAGTGAATCATCACACTCACTTGAAAGGCCACGCTCCTCCTAGGGCACTGTTGTTTTCCAGTTTTGGCAAGCACTACTCTGCTGTGTTTTAAGTGAACAACTGATGAAGCTCCCTTAGAAGCCCAAGTCTCTTGTTCTGTGGCAGGCTTTGAATTAACACCTGCTTTCATCTTCGTGATGAGAAAGTAAAAAGGGGAGCTTGCATTATTAGTTTTAATGTTTGCAGCTCAGAAACAGCTGCAGCATCAGACAGTCAACAACCAAGCAAGTTAACTTTTTTAAAACGCACCTGTAGTGATTCACATCTACACTACGTTAGACAGCTCTACATACAATATGTATGCATCTGTGTATATTGAATCTAAGTAACAGTACAGTACATTGTGAAGGAAACATTTGACTCAAACCACGTGTTCAGCTCAAACATCTAATTCAATTATTTTACTCTAGGGATGTGCCAGCTAGTTGTGTAACTACCTCTTGTAATCCTGGGAAAACTTCGGATATATCTTGTTAAGTTGCATGTGTGTCATTTTCAGCACATTGTGTTATGTGCCCATTGTGATGCATTTGAAGTTTACTTTCAATAGGCATAATATAACTGTCAATGCCATACCTGGACCTTTAACCTTGACATTGCAGTGTGCAAGTTACATACACAATATGACATATTCTAGGTTTCCATCAATAGGCATACCATTTTCATGTTGACCATTCCTGAAAACCTGTTCAGTCCATTTAATGCTGGACTTGGATTTCTTGGATATGGCCGCTTGGAGTTCGGAAAGATGCACAAAAAAGCTTCCAAACAGGAAACAAGTACCGAGGAATACTGTCTGCCACTGGGTTCTAACCCAGATCTTGCAGCTGACAACATTTGGATTAACCAGTTTCAAGATCTTGCCCTAAGCACATTTGAATACGTTTTATATTCTTGGTGCGGCTGGCATTTACCTGTGAAGCATCTTTGCATGAGAAATAGACCAAGGATTAAATTTACGCCTCCACCAGATTTGCCATAAGAAATGGGAAAATTCCTATGCAGTGTGAGCACACGATACAGTATAAATTTGTGTAACAATGGGTCTTTTTTTTGGAGATTCATTTCCTTAAATGAAGCATAAATGACATACTTTTCAAACTGGACCATTCTGAGAACATGAATAAGTGAACAAAGTCCAAAAAGTCACAATAAATGTTCATTTAGTAGGGAAGGATTTGGAAAAAGTTAAGTAATGGCCCATGTGTTAACACTGGAACACATTCAGTCCTTCTGACCGATGGATTTCAGGACACGACTTTACTTGCTAAGAGTCCCTGTCGCTGTCTTCACCTCCGTACATGTCTGCGAGTTTTTTAAACCGAGGTCCCCAATCACTGAGGTAATCGTAATCCTGGTCTGTCTCTGTGGTAACTGATTCTAAGGAACTGAGTGACTCAGCTATGGAACCAGTTCCTTCATAGGCATACGTCGCTAGGGAGTCATAAGGAGGTGCACTGGGATCGACATCATTCTCCTTTAACCTCTGGTTAATGAAATCTTTGACGTCGGTGTTGTCTTGTAGTGGTGGGGTCCGTCGTGGCAGAAGGAAAGTCTCTGGCTTGATATCCCTGCGCAACTGGCTGTCTTCTATCACTTCAGGGTTCCTCAGCGTACTAATGTCGAAGGCCTGTGTGTCCTCCTCTCCACCTCCTTCATCATTGTAACTGACAATGTTATCTCGAATGTCCTCTTTGGAAATGATGAGAGGCTCCTTCTTTCGTTGCTTTCTCATGGCAGCAAAGAGCACTACAATAACTAAACATAACAAGAATACTTTAGATTTAGTTGTTTCAATTATAATCACAAGACCATGAAAGAGGTTCCTTCCAGAATACCCACTTGGATGATATCCTACCACAGTTTTCAAAATGAGTCCAGTGAGCTGGCCTCAACTATCCTTCCAAGTAATTATTCTGGTCGTTAATTACCACCTGGGTAAATAAAAACTTCCTGATATTTGTCTTGAAGTTGTCCTTACGACTCTAAACCTGTGTTGTCTTGTTTGACTGTCTTGGTGTATCCTAAACAATCGTTCTATGTTTACTTTCTCAATTCCGTTCCAAATCTTATATATCTCTGGGAGTTCCCCTCCAAGATATGCCTTTCCAAGACTGAAGACCCCTAGCTTGCCTAATTATTGCTCATAGCTTGTTCCTCTGACACTGCGGATCATTCTTGTGACTCTCCTTTGGTTTCTAGAGCTTGGGCAGCCCCAGAAATGTGCGACCACAAATGTACACAGTACATTGGTGTGGCCTTACCAGAGCACTGTACAGCTTCTCGGGATCTGAATTCTGCTGATTTGGCAATACAGCTCAGTATCCTATTTGCCTTGCTTATTACTGCCTCACACTATTTAGTTCTTTCCCATCCATTCGTATATGTGCCTCCTATTCTTACTTCCTACATAGCACCTTACATTTATCTACATTAGCCTTCCTTACATCGAGACTGGGAAGTCATTACTGTATATAAGTTGCAGGAGGGGATCAAGTACAGAGCTTTGATACCTAGTATCATCAGTCTTTCTTGTGATACTTCGTTCAATGCCTTTCGGAAGTCTCAACATTTTTTAAAATTGTTTTTCTAATTTACAATAGCAATAGGAAAAATGTCTTGTATATACTTTATTTGCTGACCCAGAGCGGTGAAAAATTACGAATTGATCTACCATAACTTATTAGGATCCAGTGCAGATATTTACTGTCAGCAAACAATGGAAAAAACCCTTCACAAACTTTTTTAATCTACTTCACTTTATAAAGAAACCAATGCAATGATGTCAATGCCAATAGCAAATGTCTTTCATGCAAGATATGACTGCATAATAAGCAGTCCTGCTGTTCCAGGATGTTGTCGTAGCGATATAACTATGGTAAGCAGCTAACAGGCTGGCATAGCCACTTGTATGATGTTTTAAGGAGTACTCATTTGTTCTTCCCGATGATGGCCTTTCACTTTCATACACAGGGGAAGGAAAGTTTTCCTTGTGTAAAAATACTATAGAACAGCACAAAAAGTCTTAGAAAATCTGATACCTCTAGATAGCGACAGCTACTGGAAAATACCGAAAACTTTCTAACATGCTGTTCTATCCCAGCTTTCTTCTCATCCCTACTTAATGTCTCTAACAGGATACAGTTTTAATCTTGGGTTGAGATGAATTCTGCCATGTTGATTATTTCATGTCACTTACCATTCTCTACTCAGATACTGACTGCTGTGCTGCAATTGTGCCTCAAACATACTGTGACAGCTAAGAGACAATAAGTAAGAACAGGCAGTTAATTGAAATGAAAATCTAACTGCTTGAAAGGCACTCACCAAGGAGAATAATGATGCACAGCAGAATGGCAATAAGAGCTCCAGTGCTGAGGCCAGCAGGAAGGATTATAGCTTCAGCATTACAAGACTGCATATTGCCATCGCGGTCACAAGCGCACACTCCAATTACAAGAGTGTTGGTGCTGCTCTGAATAGGATATTCTTTGTCAGAAATGACAATTGGCAGAAGATAGGTGCTCATTTCCTGACGGCTGAATCCAGTTCGTTTGGTCAGAATTCCTGCTGTGTTGTCTGAAAAGAATTTTAAACATGAAAGATTCAAATCTCTACAAAACAGAAAGCAGAATAAGAGAGACCTCTGATGGTGCTTTTCAGACGAATAGCCCCGAAAATTGTATGCCATACATCATTGAAGACTGTCAGTTATTTTCCTCCCTTAGGATCTGCTCTGTTCCCTTCTCATCTTCCTTCCAAAGACTTCCCAACCTCTTAGCTTAGCAGTGTGGGGCATGTGGTCCAAGAGAGAGGAATCAGGGTATTTGAAGGTAGCTCAACAGTCTATGGTTCTGACAAAGTGACAATGTGAACTTCCTGTCAATGTGGACTGAATTTGGCAACACACATTCTGCAACACTCCCCACAAATCAAATGAGGAAAGCATGAATATCCCACATGAGGAAAGGACATCCACTGAACAGATTTCTTTTTAGCTCGGGAATATCTGAGAACCTAGAGAATGAGATAGTTCGAGTGGCAGACTGGTCTTGAGTCCCTGATACATGTATTGGTTTCTTATTTTGTCTTTTCATTGTTTGGACATTTTTTTTGTTACAAATCCTTACCTTCATTGTCCCGAACTGTGAAGTTTGGGTTATGGACGACTTCTGGAGCCAAACTGAAGAAAAATTTGGATCCGCTAGGGGGAGAATCCTGATCCACAGCACTGACTGTCTGTATCAACTGGGTCAAAACACAGTAATGTTAGCAGTCAACCAAAACAAATACAAATATGAAAGCTAGTTCTCTTCTTTACCTACTTTAATTTACTCTCCTCTCATTTTGACTTAGGTATAGGTTCCTTCCACTTAGGTATAGGTTCTCAGGATTTGATAGTGCCTCATTCTTGTCACCCAAATGACCATTTGTGTGAGCCTTGATAGTGGCTGTTGGCAGGTTATGTATTGGAGGGAACAGAAGGTATCCCAGTACAGACCTCTGAGGCACCTGCTTAAAACTTTCCCCATTTCGACTGGGCTCCCCCAACATTTACCCTCTGCTTACTTCCCCTTCAGCAATTACAAATCCATGCCTTGCCCTTGATAGCCAGTTACTTCAATTTGTGAAGGAGATGTTCTTGTTCATAGACACCTCAAGGTAGGATGAACTGAGCAGGGAGAGGTCACAATGGCATAGCAAGAGATTCCCATCTGAATATCTGTCTGATTGATACATTTGTTGGGGCAATGAAGCTGATTCAATCTGCAATGAATCTGAGATGCATTATCTTAATGAAAACATACATTCAAAATATTAAACAAAGTGCATTGAACGCATGTACCAGGTACTGTTATTTTATCCATTTTTATTCTGTGGTTCTTTGATTGTTATGTGCATGTTCAAAAGCGATCAATTGTAATTTATGTTGAGATCGTGTGACGATATTATCATGGAGTTGGGATGTCTTATGGGCTTCAGCCATTGAAGTACAAAGAAAGTTGCATAAACAGCAATAAATTTACTTAACTGAAGCATTTGTGAAGCCGCATAATCTTATGATACAAAGTGCCTCAAAACAACTATAATAGGCGTGTGGATATTTTGTGGATTGCAATTCAGACCAGGCAGCCTGTTTCTTAGTTATGGCTACATCACTCCATTGCCCACTGTTTTTTAAGAAAAACTTAGCTTCTGCCCTTAAACTCTACCTGGCCAGCCTCAGCATTTTCACAGACAAAAGTCTCATAGAACATGGGAAATTCAGGAGCGTTGTCATTGATGTCCAAAACCTTGATGTAAACAGGTGCACGGCTGCTTTGCTTGTGAAGGTCTGCAAATAAAAATAAGTGTAATTCTCAAAAACCTTCAAATAAATAACAGTACACATGAGTTTGGTTGTAATCATACTTAATCCTTGTATAATCCTGATACAAGGGTAATCTGGACCAAAGGAACCCCAACATATATACATACCGTTCCCATTCATCCCTATCGTTGTGAAATCCTACTCAGTGAATAATCCCTATCTAAGCAATAAAGAACTTGGCAGACTGGTTCTCTGCTTATCTGACATGAGCTGCTTTGGAAATAAAATGATGGATAACATGAAAAATCAAATTGTTTTGACTATTTTTCAGTCAAATCAGAACCAATGATTTACTTCATTTCTCCAGAACAGAAATAAACAGACTTCACTATTGATTGGAAAGAGTGACGTTACTGTGAATTTTCTGCGCGCAGATGAGGATTCTGAGGTGCTTGAACCAACCATCTGCACCTTCCGATTTACTGTGTTTAAGTTATACATGCATAATAGGCATTGGGTCAGTTAGTTGGTGAAAAAACGCCATGCCTTACTATAGAGTGTCAACAAAGCTTATTTGCTTTTCTCTCCAATTTCCTCCCTATCTTTTCTTTTCTGGTGGCAGCTGTTTAAGTCAACGGTAATCATTCTGAGGCTTTTTGACAGCAGGGGCCATCACACCCATGCCCAATCTTGTTTTCACCTGACATCAGTTCACACATATTTTCTTGGGGAATCAAGGGATCGTGATTAGAAATGAGAGCCCTGGCTCATATTTTCCCTTCCCTAACCGAGGGACACAAAGACTACTAGTGTAGCCCAGCATTGCTACAACTGACATCAGTTACCTCAGCAGGAACTGATATGACTGTCAGTTCTCTTTCAGAGGCACTGTGCTGAGAAAAAGAAGGAGCAAAACAAAACCTGTTTAGGAGACACATTGTCACGGTTACCCTGTTTTTGCAATCCTTTGTATTAGTAAAATTCTCAAGTACAACATTGAGTGAGAACCTTCACAACGTGAAGATGAATGTAGATGGTGTTCAGTGGCTACTTACTTGTCTCGGTTGCTATAATTGTAATATTGTGCCAAGGCATCTCTTCTCGGTCAAGTGTTTTCAACAACACAATTGATCCAGTTGTCGAGTTTATGTTAAAATACCGATCCAAATCAGTATGCCGATCTATTGAATACCTGAAAAAATAAAGTTAAAAAGATTTTTTATAAAAAGGGTTTGAAAACAACTGACTTTTTTACCACAACAACTTGCGCCCTTTCACATGGGGAGAAATGGGCTGGGGAAGGGGGGGAAGTGGTCATAGGTACAGTCAAAGAGGAAACTCTTCAGGTGTGATCTGAAGACTGGCAAAGCAGGGGCAACAACAATAATTTGGATTTATATAGCAACCCTAATGCAGGGTAGCATCCCAGAGCATGTAAAGTGGGGCCAAGATGGTGGGACTGAGGCAGGGATTTACAGAGTTATTGAGAAGATTGCACAAGAAACTGTGTGACATTTACATGACCAGTCAACATGCCCAACTGAGTGTTTTAAAAATAAAGAGTGGTTCCTTCCTGCATGATCAATAGTGTTTGTTCTACTTATTGACTACACTGGACATTCAATTGACCCAGTGCATGGCTTTACACATACTGAGTTGCCCACCGTTACACAAGCCACATGTTATTGCTGCTGAATAAAGTGTTTGTGTCTTCCATTCTAGGATCACTGTAGATGTTATTTCGCCAGTATATTTATTTCAAATTGTCTCCCATCCCAGCCCTCTACGAAAACACACAGAGAGGTTGAACTTCGACTTAAACTATGCCTGTAAATGCAATCTCTGAAGTTACATTTCACTATAAAACCATTTTCTTACCCTGAAACCTTAGACCTTGAGATTATTTCACTAACAAACACATTCTTAACCAGTGCAGACTTCAACCTGCAAAGATAAAACACTAACTAAATTGCACAGCGTAAAATAAAAGCTTTACGTAGGAAGGAACATAGGAACAGGAGTAGGCAATTCAGCACTTCGAACCTGTTCCACCATTTAATTAGATCATGGCTGAGCTGTATCTCAACTATTCCTTTCAATTCCAATTTCCTGCTTTCTCCCCATATTTCTTAATACCCTGACCTACCAAAAATCTATCAACCTCACTCTTGAAGGTGTGAATGGATCCAGCGTTCACTGCCTTTTGTGGGAGAGAATTCCAGATTTCTACCACCCGTTTCGGTTTGAAACTGAAACTAAGCTTTAGAAATCCATATAACCCTTCTTGTCACATTTAATAAGATTTCCTGTAAGAAACTGGTGAGGAGAACTGAGAACAGTATTAAAGCTAAGTTGGTGGCATGGATCAAAAACTGAACGATTCAAAGATAAGGTGAGTGGGGTAAATGGATATTTTTCAGATTTGGTCATGGCGTATCCCAGGAACCTGTGCTGGAACTTCTGTTATTTTCCATTAATATAAATTATATGGAAATAAAGGGAATAACTTCAAAGTTTGCTACTGATACTAAATACTACCAGCTACCAACCCACCTGTTCCCTCCGCTCAGCTGGCTCCAGCCTGCTCCACTTCCCCCAAGCCACCCGCCCCACCATTGGTTGGAGAGCCTTTAGTCACTCTGCCCCCAACCTCTGGAATTCCATCTCCCAGTCACTCCGCCTCTCCCACTCCTTAGCCTTCTTCAAGTGCCACCCTCAAGACCGTCCTCTTCGACCATGCCACCCCCTTTCCCTTCCCTTACCCATCCAACCCCAGCTTGGGTCTGAAATGCTATACTATGTCCAGCACCTTGGGATGTCCTCCTGACGTGAAAGGCGCTATACAAATGTAATCTTGATGTTGTTGTAAATTAGGAGACTTGAAAAACAATACAATTGACCTCAGCTGGGAGAAAAAATAAGGTGAAATACTTGCTCCTGATTGCTTACCGGAGACCTCTGTTGGAAGATATGCTTTTGTCGATATTAAACAAGGATTTTTTTGGAACTACTAAGAGTTCCCATGTATTTGTCTGATAACCAATAAAGAAATAGTCTACAAATACAGATAACTGCAAGGTGCAACCTATAGGAAATAGGAATAGGAGACACATGTACTCATGGATGGAGTGGAACTTTCCAAGGGGGAACATGAAAGAGATCTAGGGGTGTTAGTTGACTCATCGCTTACCATGTCAAAATTGTGTGAGGCCATAATAAAACAAGGCAAACAGGATTCAGGTCTATAATTCCAGATTGGTTGAATTAGAATCCCCAAACATCATATTCAAACGATATTGCACTCTAGATAGTTCACACCTAGAGTATTGCATACAGTTCTGATCATCACAACATAAGACATAATATTCCTCAATGTTAGGGGAATGAACTATGAGCAACAATTAGTCAAGCTAGGGCTCTTCAGTCTGGGATGCCTCAGTGGGAACCTAATGGAGGTATTATAAAAATGGGAATGGGATGGAAAAAGTAAACCCATAACAATATTGTGAATGAACCAAAACAGTAGAAGAAAACATGCATTATGTTCAGGGTTACAAAGGGAAATTTCAGGACAGATACCAGGAAGCTTTTTTTAGCCAGAGCATAAACAACAATTGGGAGGGTGGTTGAGGCCAGGCTCATTTAAAGAGACAATTTGATGCTGTGATGGGTGGATGTAAGGTAGGTATTCTGGATGCATGAGATTAAATGGATTATTAGGCCCTCTTCATCTAAACTGATCTTGTGATGTGTTTTTTATTTGACTAGCACAAAGTGTGCAATTTTTTTAGCTGCATTTCATCCACAAATGTACAGTCGATTCACTTTACAGTATAATCTGTGATGCGCTTTGAGATATCTCAACAACGTGATAGGGCACCATATCAGATGCAAAGATCATTATCATTATTATTCTCTCTATACAAAGGACTGAATTTGGCTTTGATGATGCCTATGGTTGAATAGCCTGCTAACACTCATTGCCAAGGCTCACACATAAATAATGACCTCTTGAGCTAGGTACAGCTGGGTTAACTGCAGCTTGTGGAGAAGGAGAGCAGGAGTCAAAATATTTTTGTGGGAGAAGACAAAAAAGTGGAAGAAAAAAAATAATGATAATGGTAACTTGGTGAAAAGCAATGCTTCTCGCTCTCTTTCTCTCTCATAACTCTATTAGATATTGGTTTAAGTATTGAAAATGTGATACATGTTGAGATAATTATCATTAGTGAAAATTATCACTTTACATATCACATTCTTCACTCTGTTGATTCTCCTTGGCACAAACAGTCCTATCAAGGTTTAAGTCCTTAGACTCCCTATGCCTCAAATGAAACAAAGCATAACATTAATAATGTGTACTGTAATAAATAATTCTTGCATTTGATATAGTGCTTTTCCCGTCTTCTAGACATCTCAAAGCCCTTCACAGAACATACTGTAAGGTGAATTGACTGTATATTTGTGGGCAAAACGCGGCAACCAATTGCACACAGCAGTGACCCACAAACAGTCGTGGACTGAAGTGACCCATTTATTATTGTTTTTTTTGAGGGATTATTATCAGGCGTGTGGAGCAAGGAAACGTGCCCAAGGTTTCACCCTGATGGGAATCGAACCCAGGTATCTCGCAAGGCGAGTGCTCTAACCATTGAGCTACAGGACTCCACACACACACACACTGTAATGTGCATAATCAGCTACCATCTCCATTCTGCTATTGGGTATTATAGGAGGTTGCCATAATGGCATGCTGTTAGACTGCAAATGACAAGTATTAGAGTTCGTCACAACGGATCTCAGAGTAATAAAGGAGATATTTTTGGTTTGAATTGCTGTCATACATTTGACTGCCCATTAATATCAATATAGTTAAGTAAAGTAGATTGCAAAGTCCTCTTTTCAACATTTGTCATTTGCCTACAATGCAAACACATTTTATTTAACATGACCAGTAATATTGGCACAATTAACAAACTTAGGAAAGGAGAATTCGAACAATCTGGGGTCTTATACTGCACTCTTGAGCTAAATGCACCAGTTAAGCAGCAAAGTTACAGGTGGCACATTGTGGACACATTTTGCGAGACCATAACATAGCCTGAAGAGCATGTGTAACTTATTGTGGCATCTGGATCAATTCCAGGCATCAGTCCATTTGTCGGCTGGATTTGGTATTGGTGTTAGCCACACTGTCAACGCCCTTGGATCGCACTTGGATAATTGCACAGTACATTTTTGATGATTTTGCCAGAAGTCCTCAATACAGGATAGTGTCTGGATTTCTCTTGTCACTGGAGCTAGGAAGCTACCAGTCAAACTCAGTGAAGGAGGTGAAGTAATGGGGACAGGTTTGGCTAGAACATTATAGACTTTTAGAGCCCCCCAAGTTGGGATTGGAACCCATACAGTCTATAGTGACACTCCAATGCAAATAATGATTATGGTAAATTACTTTTGATGCTGCCAGAGGTATCATGACTATCATTAGGCTTGGGAAGGTGTCAGGGATACAGGCAGCAGGCTCCATGAGCCCATCACCCCCATACTCACAAGTATTAACTATACTCCTAATATTCCACTGTCACTCTATCTCCCAGTGGTTTAACTTTAAGACTCTCATTCAAATGTCTCCACTCTACCTCTGTCTACCTCTTCCACTTCCTCCACTAGGCCTGATACATGTCCATCCATCCCGCACCACACCCGACCCCACCACCAGTCACCTTGCCCAACTCTCTGGAAATCTTTGTACTTAAATGTGGAGTCTGTAAAATATCTGAAGTGCTCTAGGATGCTACCCTGTGTGAAGTGTGCAATATAAATGCAAGTTGTTGTTGTTTAGAGTATTTGCCTCACAAGACAGAGGACCCCGATTCAATTCCCAGGCAGTGAAAAACCTTTGTTATGTTTCCTCACTCCACAACCCTCTGTTTCCCTAGCAGTGAGCAGGAGCCTGGATGTTAGTTGATTGGTGGATCGCTTTCCAGGGATAATAATACCTTCCAAAAAAAATGTTCATCCCATCATGTGGGGCTCTCACTCTAAATACTTTGAGATGACACTAGTGAAGTTCAATTTTTTGTTGATAACATGATGCATACTGTAAGCAGCCAACGTAACTTCCTATAACCATGCTACAAATAAGATGATAGATCAGTCCTGATCTTAATAGGCACTCTTTTTTTTACA